CATGAAAAGATAAAGAAGAGAGAAAAACCGTGCAAGAAGTTCAGCTGAAAAGAACAGATCTTTTGACTGTCTTGATTTATTAATCAGGGCTGCACAAAACATTTTCGGAGCCCTGATGCAAAAGTAAGGAAAGACCTCTTCATCTTCATTATGACATCAATATTACAAAAATTTAAAGAAGATTAAAAAATTTCAAGCATTTAAATATTACCTATTTTTTTACAATTTATACAAATCAATACAAATAGAGAATAATTATATTTTAATCAAAATTTCAGTGTCTCCTTGAATGCCCCGATATATATAGTGCATGTAATTTTCCTCCTTCTCTATTTGCATTGGTCTTGACGTTAACAAAAAAGTTTAGTTAACGGAAAAATGTTGTTTATGTTTTCCAAATTTACGACTTGAATATTATCTCGTGTCTCGTGAATATTGTCTAGTGTCTCATCTAGAAAAGATCGCCTGTCAGATTGATCAAAAAACGGATCGAGAAATCAATCGGAAGATTTTCATTTTCTATTCTTGCAACTCGCGTTAACAGACGTCGCTGTTCGCAGCGCGACATTCGCAGCGTCAGTGTCAAAGTTCAATTCATCGTACGAGCCTGTTGATAGAAACGATCACGAGCACGTGGCACGTTTTAAAGAAACAGCCGTCTCCTACTGCGCCGCTCGTTCAGTTTTCTCGAATCGAGTTCGTTCACCCCGATCATTTTTCTCCGACTACGTATGTTCTTCACTCGTTTTCTTTTTACGTGCACTCTCTCACTGTTTACAAGCCCATCCCTTGCACGAGACAGACACACTCACTGATTTCAAATCAGGAAAGATCCAAGGAGGAAGAAAGAAACTCATTTTTCAACGCGTCGGAACAACACGTGGCGACTCCGCAATTTCTCACTTGATAATCGACAGAAACCTGATGCCAATTCACACTCAAAATGCACCAATTCCTTTCGTCACTCGTGCGAATTATTTTTTTTTCTTTACCTACCAGACGCGCGGCCGTCAGCAGCCGCCAGGAGAGAGCCATCAGCTGGATCCGGTCCGGTCCGGTCGATCCGATCGGTCGATGAGGAGCGGCTCCGAGAGCTCCGGAGTACCACTCCGGATCGCGTGAGTCCGAGAGTGACAACCAATAATGATGGACGGCCGTTATCGCGCTCGTGCCACGATACCGGACGAGACCGAAGGAACATGTTTATTCACGAGGCGCAGCAAGCGCATTGCGTAATTGCGAGTCGGCGAGACGAAACGCATTCGGATCGGCCTTGCGTACGATCGACGGCGACGTAACGCTGTTGTTGTGTATACGTGATACGCGCGTGTAATAAAAAAAAATATTAATCGCGTTTTAAAAGTCGAGGTTTATTAAATGTTACATAACCGTATTATATTTTATTATGTCACGTTATATTTAATTTTATGACGTTTATAATGGGAAAGGGGAAAAGGTTGAATTGGAAACTAGTAGATTAGTACAGTTGGCGATTTTCTTGGTGCTTTAAACATTTTTACTCGTTGAGTTAATCATCACTAGTTGGAATTTAACTATAATTTATAATTACTGTGATGAGAATGAAAAAAAAGAGAAAAAAAATTGAAAAAGGAAGAATTTTAATATTTTATACTAATTAATTAAACATTGGCAGGAAAATATGTGAATAGTGCTTGTTTACTGTGGATTTATAAAATGCTTAGTAATATTAAATTAAATATCAAGTTAATGTGATATTGCATTTTCAGCTTCGACAAAAGACATAAGATCAAATGTTAATCGACACATAAATTGAAATAATAAAAATGAAATATACAAGGTTCCACCTGATGACCGAAAATCTCAATATTTATCCATTTATTTTTTTTATGTTAGTTCGCTATTTATTTGTTAAAATAATATTTATCTTTTTGAAAGGATTCTTTCAAATTCCCGAGGCGTTTATCGTTAATGTATCGATCTCGCGGGTCACTACCAAATATAAATGTTTTTAAGTACTGTCCAATATTTAATAATAACATCAACAATAATAATAATAATATTATTTTAATATTGTTATTTTAAAAATCAATTTTTAAGTGATTTTATAAAGAAAAATTTATATAAATATTTGATTAATGATCAAAAACCTTATTTCAGAGATACAAGATGTTAAAAAAATTTTAGATAATTATCAGGTTTTTTAGATGTTGAATAAATAGAGGATTCTTTTTACGACTTAGATCAGTAAATAGGCAGAGTATTATCTTTATCTTACCCGCAATCGCTGTTTTGTAAAAAGCCAAAAGTGTTGAAATGTAGTTTAAATATTTTCTTGAATTTGAACGCTAAATAGACGGAATTAAATTTTTATGCAGATTTTTATTATTTCATTAAGTATCCACAAAAAATATTAAAATATTACATTGTCACATGAGAACTTTTCTCCATAAAATAATCTGAAAAATTAATTCTAAAATATTGGACAGTATTTAACTTCTAACATAATAGAAATATATTGTATATATGGATATTTATAATATAATGGATATGTAAAATATGGATATTTTATAACTACAAAAAAGTCTGATGACTTGTGCTCTCGATTTTATAATGCAAAGGAATGCTCCTAATGTGAATGTCCTCGGTGCGTAATTCGGGAAAAGGAAATCGTCATAGGTGCCATTAGCGTCGAGTTTCGATTCATATGTTTGTCCATTGCGAATCATTACATTTATTTTCTCACCGCACGATGATGTAAGACAGCAAAGAACGTTTACTCTTTATAAACATCTCTCTCTCTCTC